TTAGAATTTCAAAATCTTAGAAACCCAAAGTCTCGAAATAATAAATTATAAACTTGGGTCACATAATCCTTCAAAGTTCCAGAATCCTGAACTTTGAATTTCTCAGAAACATTAGAGATTATCAGAAAAAGGATATTACTCTTCAATGCGCGTTGAGGCCGAAAATTCGACGTTGGGCGGGGCTTAGGTTCGGTAGCGAAATTCTTGAAGGAGCATGATTTTTCTTAACTAGTTTCGGACCTGTTTCATCGATTTTTCGATAACTATTTGTGTTTTTTAAAGATTTTTCCCGCTTTGCCGGATTTAATTTCGAATTATTGAGCAAAAAATCATTGTGTTAATCGATTTTTCGTGATTTTCCCGATTTTTGTTTGAAAATAGTTCAAAATCGATAAAATTCATCGGAAAATAGAGAAAATCGGTCAGATGATAATTAAGAAAGTACATGCTCTTTTAAAAATTTTGCTACCGGATCTAAGCTCCTCCCACCCTCGGCCGCAACACGCATAGAAATTTTACCAGAGCAATACTTTACGATAATTTTTTAAGATAATAAAAAAAACTGAAAATTCCAAAAAATACTGTACCAAAAATCTTATTTTAAGAGCAACAGCCAGAAAAAATAGGTTCTATATCCAAAGTTAGCCAATTACTTTAAAGTAAAGGCTTCAAGTTCTCTGAAAATCTAATTGTTAAAAGTCAATATTGTTTACTCAGAATTTGACCTAAACCATAATTTGAAAATTAAATTGTAGTGATCTGGTCGAAAATCGACGCAGTGAGTTTTCCGAGCACTAAAACATCAAGCAAATGATATTTCTGGAAAATAACATGTCTTTCCAAAACTAAGCGGATCCTTGGATTTGCAAAAGTACACTCTTCTCCAAAATGACCCCTCCAAATCGTCATATGCTCTTCTTATCTTTGACGTCATTGAGAGGAAGGAAAAACAGAATAAAAACCTGAAACATACATCAACTTAAGTAGCTTTGGACAAAAAAGTTGCATAAATCCGTTATTTCCTCTTCCTTTTCTATTCTGCTCTTTTTGCAAGACTAGAAACAAACAAGTGGGTTCTTCTGAAACAACGCCAATTTAAGAAGGAAATGCGACTAAAACACAGAGAATTGGAAACATTGAAAAAATGTTCTGGAAAATAAAATTTGGAAAATATTTGAGGAGGTCTTCTGGAGGACTTCAGAAGCCTAAGGAGACGATCAAAAACCAAGGAAAAATGCGGAAGACAAATTTAGAAAAAAAAAAGAAAAAGAGTAGTCCGTATAATGTGAAAAACTGAGTTTTCTCAAAGTTTTTATGGGACATCTTCTCTGAATTTTCTGTTAAAACGATGTGGAAAGATCGGATAGAGTAGATATTTTGTTTGAATTTGAGAATTTGTGATAATTAAGAGTACACAAGGAATCAGAATTCAAAACTCAAAATTCAAAGTTGCAACCTTGAGAGAATTGAAATTCGAGACGCAATCTGAAAAACCACGTGGCTCAATTCTTTGGCATCAGAATACAAGAAGAAGATGTGATTCCTGTTCCTCTGGTCAGCTGAAAATTTTGGAGATGTATAATTTGCAAGATTTGTACAAGTCTAGAGGAAATGAAGCTAAAACTAGAAAAAGTCTAACTAGATAATAGAACAGAAAAGACAAAAAATGTTCTGACAAGGAAGTATAAGAATCAAAATCTCAATCAGAAATGACGATGGAAGCAAAACTTTGTAGAGTGAAAAGGGTTCATGTATTCAGAGAATCTGAATCTCAGAATTTCAGAATTTTGCAGAATCCTAAATAAGTTCTTAGAATTTCGAAATCATAGAAGCTCGAAATCTGAAAATTAAAAATTATAAACTTGGGTGTCAGAATCCTTGGAAATTCCAGAATTCCAGATTCTGAACTTCTCAGAATCTCTTATTTAGAGAGTATCATATTAATGATTTTACTGTGGTACAAAAAATCGGAGTTGTAAGAGAAACGCCGGTGACTGTGGTCAAAGGTCCCATAACGAGAACTACAGTAACTTAAATTACATGTGTTTATATTCCGGATTCATTTTATCGATTTACGTCTTTTTTCAATACCAAACAACTACAGTAACCTGAAATATTTCGCTTTTCCGACGGTTTTATTGTCTATTCAATAAGACGTGGGCGCGCCGCAGGTTGCAAAGTGACACGCCCCTTTGAAACGC